ACTGGTTCAGGGAAAATGATGCACTCATCACCATAAGCTAAGAGTAGATCACTGTCTGGGGCACTGCTTTTGCTTTACGGTCTACATATTAACTAGTTCCGAATATATATATATATATATGATTTTGAAAACAAGTAGAATGAGTGCTGTTCGTTGATTTTTGAAATTATCGCCAACAAGTCACAGACAACTACTGTAAAAGAGTCTAAAGCCCACCACCAACAACAACACCCATACTATTCAACCTACTTACTAAATACTACTACTATATGTAATATTAAGAAGAATAAAATCCATTATTTTGACAACAGTTATTGATAATCTTCCTCTTTCATAGGAATACTGCACTGTTCCTCAATTTTCTATTTTTCAATATAATTTTTACAGAAAATGTAAAATAGTATATATTGTTTGTCTCTAAAATCACGAAAACGGCACTGCAACATCTCACTGCACTTAATAATGTAACGAAATTCTGCAACTTCTTTCCTGAGTTTGACTTTGATAACCTGACTTTAACAGTATAAATATTGCTTGACATCCAGTGTTCATGGACGATAGATTATACTTCAGAAATTATCACATCAAATATTTTTTCTCAGCAATAAATACATCCTCAGACACCTCTAGATTGAAGACAATATTTAGCATTAAAATACATTTACTGTATTAAATGGCTGCCAACACAAGTAGCCAACCTATTAGGACATTATATTTCCATACATGAGTCGAATAACTTCATTCACTTGGCACACAGTAAAATAAATACAGGCAAATCTAATGACACAAAGACTATTCCACTTAGATTCACAACATCCTGACTTGCATTCTAAGCTGAGAAAGAGCACATATCTTTCTTCGTGTATGGAGGACTCATACATACACATTAAGTGCAGTGGGGAGTCTAGCAAATATTGTATGATTTGCTTTACAGAATTTTAACAACTTAGTTAGACACAATAAGCAATTCTCGAGAACATTTTGTCTCATAGTTCAGGAAGTCAAACACACTTACATCTGAGCTTTCAAACTTCTATAGATAATCCTCAGTCACGCAAACTAATATTCTAGGCAATGGATCTAATAACGCCAACCATTCTAACTGTTTAATAAGCAAATAGCTATTGCCTCATATCCCATGGATACCTCACAATGAAAGTCTCTTTGATAACGTGTAAAGTAAGTGTTGCCTCTTTAACCCAACTACCAACAAATCTTCCTAACTTTGGTGACAATCAAGTAGCATCTACACAATGTACTACAGACTGTTAATCGTGAAACAGTACTTGATAGTTCAGAAACTAAGAATCGTCACCCTATTTCGGCCATTCATCTTACAACCAGTGACTACCCTAAATTCTGGTACAGCAGTCAATCCCAACCGTAGTGATCAAATGTCGTTGTTAGCATCTCAGCCGACCACTTGAGCTATCTTGGACCTCTTCTCTAGGTATTTCTTCACCTGACTCATCTTAAGTAGCGAGGTAAGTACTTCCAGATTCATTCTTCTCGTAAACTGAGACTAGATTATACGAAACATCATTCCCATCTAATTACATCAGGCGTGACTTCTGATTCTTAATTACATGTACGTCAATTGAACGATCTGTTTGAGTATGAAATAATGACCTGTCCAGCCTGACCTGAGCTGTTTTCGTGCCACCGATAAATACTAAAGCCAGAACCTGGAATATTCATTGGTTGTCATCTTTTCTGACATATGACTGTTTTTTCCCAGCTTTTGGCACACAAATCTGTGTGCATCGGCCAACACAGACCTTAGACACTTCAGATATTCTTGCGGATGCCTGCCCTAAAGTTAGGCTCTGCATCACTACCACATGTACATGTTCGTAAGCAATCAGTTAATCTTTTCTGTTGCATTGTATGTCATCATGATGTACATAACGTATTAATCGAAGTCAATTCAGTTGGGATTAACAAACTTAACAAGAATCCACGTTATAGTTTGTATTACATATTTTGTCAAACCATGAGACTGAGGTGATAAGACACAGTGAAAGTCTTCATCATAACAAACAAATTACTAACTCAAATAATAGGTGGCAATTGCAATTAACTCCCTAATATATGTTAATATATTTAGGTGGGTCAAGTTGAATATTACAGTTTTCTCTCAATATATCAGTGACACATTGTGCTCTTCTACTTACCAATGAATAATCTTTATTTGGTTTGGGTTTGATTTGATTTTGTTTGATTTAAATGATGGTGGCCAGGTGTTTCTATGAGCTTTTTTGATTGTATTGTTAATAGTTAAGTTTTCCAATGCAAAACCAATATAAAGAAACAGGGGTAGAAGCAATATATTTAATTGTTTTTGGAATAAATGTTATGTTCGTATTGCTGTACAGAAAGGGAGCCTGGTCCATGTATTGTGTAAAGTGTTCAAGACAGCTGTAAAAGCTCTTTTCTTCCAAAATATTATGACTAATTTACAACATTCAATAGGACTTTGAAGAAGCTCTTTTCATTGGCATGACCAAACATTCCATCCTTTTCTCTAGCCAATCAGTGAACATTGCATTATATATCTTCAAGATTCTGATTCTAACAGTCAGATGTCCTCGATGGCAGCAGAAATTATTTTCATCTGTACTTCATATTGCTAATTTGCAGAGTGATAGGAATTGGACTTAAAGAGATATTTAAAATTTCACTTGTTTTTTTTTGGGGGGGACTGACCTCTCATTCTCTGATATCCATTCATTTATGTCCCTCCACACACACTCTTTTCTGAAAGTCCTGGATACACCAATGAGTTCATTGCTAGTGATAAAGGTTTTTGCTAACCTTTAATACTGTCAAAACTTCTGATTTCGAGTTGTAAAGGAAATGATACACTATAGTTTCTGGTTTGATATCAACATAAAAGTGTTACTCATGTTTGTACATCTGACTCAAAGGTTAGTTTGTTAGATGTCAGCAAAGCTACACGAGAGCTATCTGCGCTAACCATTCCTTGGGCTTCTCTTTTACCAATGCATAGTGGATTTCCCCTCACATTACAAAGCCCCCACAGCTGAAAGGGCGAGCATGTTCGATGTGACGTGGATTCGAACCCGTGACCTGCATATTACGAGTGGAGTGCTATAACTACCAGGCCATGCCAGGCTCAATTGATAAGTCTCAGCCTATTTAATGAAGTAATCAATAAAAACCAGCATATATCAATTACCTTTTTTGGTCTACAGGAGGGGACCTGTTCAGACTTTATTTTTCTCTATATATTACATACCATACAGAGCTTACACTACTGTGTAGCGTCTCGACCGGAATGTGACCAATAAGACCACAGTTTCACGTTAGCACAATTTCGTGTAACACCTTGATAACTGACAGTCCATGTATTATGCAAAGTGTGAAGAATGCCTTGAAGCTCTGGGGACTACTAGCTGCAACATAAGTTTAGAACCACTTGTCTGTGTTCGATAGCAATGGTATAACATGCCTTCCTGCGCTCTTAATTGCTTGTATGAGTGACACAGGCAAAGTGCATCCAAGCATTGTTCCTCAAGCTGCACTGTCCATGCTTCACCTTACTGTATGATAAAAGGCACCCAGGTCCTCCAGTTGCTCCTTCTGCTGCTTCTGAAGCATTAATCATGGTATCCAGTCCTAATGGAGTATGTGTCTTATGGCTTATTTTTACCATAAGTCAGTACATTCAATGTACGGATAGCATATCACTGTGTGGGGAGACAATCCATCAGTGTTTCATATTGTGGGCCCAGACAATGCATTACAACAAAGTCATACTCTTGTAACATTGTGATCTGATGTGGAATAATCCCTTTAGGATTTTAAAAGTCCATAAGCCACTTCAGCTATGCATGGTCATCAGAAGAATGAACTTTTTATCCTAAAGGTTGTGTCAGTAGTATTTGATAAAGACCACAACTGCAAGCAGTTCTTTCTTCATTATGCAGTATCAGTATTCAGAAGCCAGGACCATACGAATAGCATACGCTATCACACCTTTTACTCCATCCTGCCAACTGTAATAACACTGTTATTAACAACGGGATCCAAGAGATATCCACAGTTCTATCGTCTATATGCTAACACTGGAGTTCTCACTACAGCATACTTTAGGGACAGAAATGTTTGATCACACTCCTCACTCTATCTAAGGTGTGTATTGGATGTAGAGATAGCTGATAACTGTGTGATAATCTTGAAGAATTGGGCCAAAATATCGGTAATATGATGCAAAACCAAGGAAACTGCAAACTTCCCCGATCAATCGAAGTTAAGGTAAAAGCGTTTGAATTTAGTTACTGTTGGAAGTAATATTCATCAACTCACAACTCGGATTGTCTGTTTTGAAACAAAGCCACATTGGGCTATCTGCTGTGTCCACCGCGGAGAATCGAATCCCGGATTTTAGCATTGAAAGTCCGTAAACTTACCACTAATTCAGATCTTCACTGTATAGTTTACTGCTACATACATTGTTTTATGCGTTTAAGCCCACTCTAGATTGTATGATATTTATAAAAGAAAAGGTTTTTGCAAATACAGACTAGAAATAATTTTTGTTTCATAAACGTACGCATTCAAACTAAAGTAACAAAACAATGGAATCAAATTTTCTGAATTAATTAGAACTGTAGTTAGAGTGATGTAAAACCAGCAATACAAATATAGGCTGCGTTTTTAATTTTATTTTACATACTATTATACCCAGAGTTTAAAATTAACTATCGACCTTTCATTACTAAATATTGTGTAATGTAAAAATAACGTTAAAGAAAATGTATATAAAAATTGCTGAGCTGAATGGAGAACTTTCAGAATCAGATTCTGATAAATATACTAAACTTGGTTCACATTTACCATCCATTCTTCTCTTTCTGTTTTAGATATACAACAGAATATTTCACTAACTTCTTATTTACTAGGATACAGAAAAGGATAAGTAAATCGTGTTTTTAGTGGGAATTAAATAAAAAATACGTACATATATATATATTTATCACATTTTTATTGCTCTCAGCTACATTTCTAGCCACTCTTTGTTTTGTATCCAAATAATTTCAACGCCACGCCACACACTTATTCTCGGGATTCATGGGTGCTGAAGAAGAACATTTGAAATCTCTTGCAAAATCTTCATTATTTGAAACTATTCCGATCACTCTACGGAAAAGAAAACAAAGAAGATCAGTAAAACAAATGTTAAAAAAATGAAGAGGTTGGAATAATGTGAGCCAATCTTCGGCAGCAATACTTGTTTGAAGATAGGTTATTTCATACAGATCATGTTACCTTATAAATTATTCAGGTAAAGTTTATACGCCAAACTTCAAACTCACTGAAATCTTGGTGAAAGAAGTTATCATTCACCTGCTTTTATTACAATAAATCAGTGAGAAAAGTGTTCTGTTTATTCAACTTAGATAAATAGACTTGTTATTCCATATAGGCTAGCTAATTATATGTGTCACATAGCTAAAAAATCAACAATAGCTTGAAATTCCATGTTTGTTTCCTCTTCATTTTATATGATTACAAATTATAGAGAAATAGATTACTTGGATGTCATGTTCTGTATAAACATCATGAATGATGGTTTAGACACTATGATAATTAACACCCGTCACATGAGCCAACCTGGTATATTGATGTTAATCCAAAAACATGAGTCATTCGGGAAAGGTTTGGGTTGATTTGATTATATAAAAGTAGACGTTTGGCACTATTATCGAAGTCTAGGTTGCATGGAGAAGTTAAATTGTAAATGTAAAGGAAAATGATTGAAACATGCTTGAAATGGCCTAGATGTGGTTGTGAATGTGATGGTTTAAGTGTAGAGATTAAGCTAAACCGTGGATCCAGGTTGGATGAGGGAAGAACTTATTCGAAGGTATCCCATTTGATTTGACATACCAGCTTAATCGGAGATTCGTCGACTGATAACTGTATTGACAGTAAAACAAAGGGCACAATAGTATCGTTATATTCAAAGATAGGGATTGTAATCATACATAAGAAATCATTAGTTTCAATATCTTGTGAAACTAATATGCAGTGTTGAAGTTGAAGCAGATGCACGATGTATTACAAGATGATGTTCCTAGTGATACTCAAATTTAAAATCCATTTTTTCCAATGAAGAGTAAATATAAGAAGGATGGTATAATTCTCAGTATGATACCACCATAGTATAGCCCTTCAGTAGCAAGAGCAATATGTCTGCGGTCTTACAACACTAGAAACTGATAGCCCATTGTGTAGCTTTGTGCTTAACTTCAAACAAACAAACCATAATATAATCAATATAAATTTCATCACGCCATATTTTCATTAATATTTAGTTTGTTTTTTCAAGTTTTTGTTTTTAGAAGTTTTGCCGACCATTTTATACTGAGATTTATCGAAATATCCCTAAGTAACCGGTTTCCGGAATGACATGTTGAACATCTTATGCTCAATACTAAAATATTCTGGGCTGTTTCATGTGGCAGGCGTTAAAATATATATACAAATTCAAGCAGGTATGCCCACAGCCACGTCCATAATTATAATTTAGCTTTTAACTAGTTTGATAAAAAATAATGCTAACAGATAAATACTTAACTTCGTCTCTTACCAACCATTTAGTGATAGTGGAAAAAAAGCTTTGTTGGCAGCAGCGTGCATGGAATAAAGTAAACTGAAACAATACTGTGGTATTGATTTATATTGAGATCCTAGTTATAAGTACCAGTAAAATACAGATCACGGAAAGGTTAGGCAGATATTTATTTCAAACACAGACAGTAAATCTGATTGAAACAAATATATATTTACAAATTGAAAACAAAAATCTTTTATTAATTCCCAAAGTACGTAAGTTTTTCTTAACTTAAGTTGCTTGCTAGAGCAGAGCAGAGAGCGGGATCAAAGCAAGATATGTTCGCAAAAGGCTTAAACAAGATGAAGAATAATCACGCCCACTGCTGAACAAAGATAAGATCCAAAATAATGATGACACGACACTGCTAAGTCACACAAGAGTCCTAGTGTGGTATCCCACAATCCATATATAACCTATCTCAACAATCATTCCCAGCATATGTATTCAAGGAAGCTAATCCCCAACTCATATTAACTTGTTCATGTCTCTATACAGCCCCATTTAAGTAAGTATGGCTTCTTACCTTAGAAGGACAAGACACAGAAAACAACTAGTTATGGAAGAGAAAAATATGGTCATATTTCCAATCATCACATTGTTACACTTTCGTCATATTTAAAATTCGAAGTAAGCCTATAACTGTTGATTTGAATACTAAGCATACTAAAACCCGGAAAAAATGAAAGCTGGACAGGTATAACAAAACCCGGAGCAGCACCCAACCCATTGTAGTCGCATAATTCAAACTTCTAATTCCACGAACTTTGAGCAAAACAAAGTGCCACTGATAAATAAATATGTTTACAGAAAGTTTTATTTTCAACAATGGTTAATAAACACTATAGACATAATTCTTATAAGTCTTGAACAGACGTGTCTGCCCGAAACAGCCTATACAACTGTTAAAATGGATGCTAATAATCCAAATGGATATTGTAGTGCAAGATAAATACTTTTTACAGCATCTTACTGGAACTGCATTCTTATTCACATACTTTTCTTGGACAACTGCGTCTATTTCTATGCGAATGCACACGCACTACGTCCACAAGTACACACTTAACATTAGCGATAAAACAATATTAATTAGGAGCAAAGAAAGCTTGAAGATGATACCGAGGTAGATTTTCTTAATGTCAGTAATCAAGTTTCATTATTATTGATCATAACTACTGATAGCTTTAAAAGTCCAGATCAGCTTATAAAACATTTGGAACATGCTGTATTCGTTAATAAATATTATTTCAATATGAGTTAAATACTGATTTACTGCATCTTGCTAACACTGTATTCTCATTCAGATAGAATGGTTCAATAAAAACTTATTTTCTAAAGGTCTTAGTTTACTAACAACATATACATAACGGGAACCCTCATGAATCCGGCTACTGTAAACAAAACCTATTTTGGTGAATGATACTATATGTTAATTAGTTTTATTTCATGAAATTTACATTTAGAATTGGAACCATGTGTATTATTGTTTTCACCAATTTCACTAATGGGCTAATCGGACAGGTTAGAGATCCCTAGGGACCGGATATAGTCGCCTCTAATTCTAAACTACTGGCTGATATTTTCATCCAGACGGGCTAATCGGACTCGTTAGAGATCTCTAGGAATCACATATAGCCTAATTTTAAACTATTGTTCAGAGGGAAGGAGTCTATTAATATGGTTGACATGGTCATCGGCCTGGAAAATGGTGGTTGAACAGATCCATGAGTGTTTACTGTTTAGTAGGCTGGGAGTGGGTATGTTTTAGTGTACACGGGCTGTGAATCTGATAATTCATGGTTCGTATCTCGTAAAAAACGTGCTTCGCTAATATTGATGGTCAAATCTCACGATTCGGTGAGATAATAGTTGCCCAACAATAGGTGGTGGATACTATTGTCTATTTATCTTTCCTACTGTGTAAAAGTTGAAACTTAGGAAAGGCTCAACGTCTAAACCCTTATTTAGCTTTGCCCGAAAGTTCTAGAAAAATAAGAAATAAAACAGTTTTCTGTATAGTTATTGTCTTTAGACAAAAGCGCGAGTAGGTAACAGCCATAAACTCCTATGTTTATGCTACCTAGCTTGCAAGCCTGAGAAACTATTGCGAGATTTTATTGGAAAATATCGTCTTTCGTTTGTTCGAGTGAATGTAAGGATAAAGCAATGAATAAACATATGAACAAACTATCTTTTGTTATATTGAAATTACGTGCTCTTAATGCATGTAATTCTCAATTCTAGTTTAAATAAACGGACTGATTCACCTAAAACGTCTGCCGACGTTTGTGAGTTCAGAATAGGTCTTTGTTCAATGATATTACAGAGTTCAGAATAGGTCTTTGTTCAATGATATTACAGAGTTCAGAATAGGTCTTTGTTCAGTGATATTACAGAGTTCAGAATAGGTCTTTGTTCAGTGATATTATAGAGTCTTCGGAAATTTTTTGTTTTTTTTTGTTTTTGAAGTTAAGTACAAAGCTACACAAAGGGCTATCTGTGATCTGCCCACCACGGGTATCGAAACCCGGTTTCTAGCGTTGTAAGTCTGCAGACATACCGCTGTGCCACTGGGGGGCGTCTTCGGAAATAAATTAATACTAGCTGTAATTCAGTTAACGTTAAATGTATATAATTTGTTTGTTTTCACTCAAGGGCTACCTGAGATAGTAATTACTACTTTGGAACAGATAGACTAAGGGAAACATATTTAATTAGCCTCATTGTGTGGGTTAATGTCTGTATGTTGAAGTAAGCGCTCTTATGTCTTCTTTGATACGTCTATTACAACAACTAAACATATTTAATTACCTTATGTGGACTGATGTCTGTAAGTTGGAGTAAATAGCCTTATGTCTTCTTTGATGTGTCCATTACAACAACGAAAAATATTTAATTACCCTCATTGTGTGGGCTAATGTATGTATGTTGAAGTAAATACCTTCAATGCTTCCTTGACGTGTCTATTAGAACAACTAAATATATTTAATTACTCCTTAGTTGTGTTGGCCCATTTTTATATGTTGGAGTAAATACCTTTAATACTTCCTTGATGTGTCGATTACAATAACTAAACATAATTAATTACTCCTTAGTTGTGTTGGCCCATGTTTATATGTTGGAGTAAATACCTTTAATACTTCCTTGATGTGTCGATT